GAACACTAATTAAACTCAAGAGGGTAAGAAAGCCCTAACTGAGAAAACTAGTTCTTTACCATCAGCTGGTGAATAACAACATTTTCATAGCTGATTTGTCCTCCTATGCCTTAAAGGTGTCATTGGAGTATTTAAAAATAATAAGTCTGCAGTACCAGAGAAAAAGGCCAGGACAACTGATAAACCTGCCCTCTAGCACTATTACAAGTTTCATATCCTTTGATCTAAAATGAAGCTCACCAGAAGAACCACAACAGGCTGTTTAACACTAGAACAGTTCCTGGAAAAGTTGGAAAAACTGAAGTGTGTTGCTGAGAAAAACCTCTAAGAATGTGAATGTGCACCTTGGACAACCAGCTGCTGGATTCTCCCAGTAACACAAGCCCCCCAGTAAACAGGCAGAAGATTTTCCTGATGCTGCAAGACAGCATTAGGACAAAATATAAAAAGATTCCTGAAAACAAATCTCTAAGTTTCCTGGGCCCTTGATGGGGAAGCTATTCAAACTTTGCATGAAAATATCTGATCTTTGCTTTTCACATTAAAGGTGTCTGAAAGCATTTACTTCTAAATTGAATTAGCAATGTGCGGAAGCTGGAGAAAAGCAGCTTATTAATGGGGGCAGAGTGAGCTGCAGTTTCTCTGAATGGTACTGTAGTCCTGTCTTCTGAGTTTATTCTACATCTGCACAGTTGTAGAAACAAGTGGGTAGCAATTTGTCCACAGAGGCAAAACATGGCAACTAAAAACATGTAACATGGAGTGGTAAAAATAAATCTGAGTAGCTGTACTTACCCAGAGTGACTGCTAAAGCGTAACAATTTCTGTTGTAAATGATTGTGGTGGGTTGTCTCTGGCCAGCTGCCAGGTGCCCACCCAGCCGCTCTGGCATTCTGCCTCCTCAGCAGGACAGGGGAGAAAATAAGATGAAAAAGCTCAAGGGTTGAAATAAAGAGAGGGAGATTGATTACCAATTACTGTCATGAGCAAAAGAGACTTGACATGGACAAAATTAATTTAGTTCATTCTCAATTAAAATGGAGTACTGTGCTGAGAAAAAAAGACAAAACAACACCTTTCCCACCCTGTCTCTTTTTTCCATGCCCAACTTCACTCCCTCATCCATGACTTCTCTGCTTCCTCCCCATGAGCAGTATAGGAAATGGGGGCTGTGGTAAGTCCTTAGCAGCTCTTCTCTGCCTCTCCTTTCTCTGCACTCTTTTCCAGTTCTCCAGGGCAGCTCTTTCCCATGGGCTACAGCTCTTCAGGATCAACTTGCTCCAGCGTGGGCATCCACAAGCCACAGCTCCTTCAGGGCATGTCCAACTGCCATAGTGTGGTCCTCTCCATGGGCTTCAGTGTGCATACCTGCTCTAGCATGATCTCCTCCAGAGGCTGCCAGGGAGTCTCTGCTTGGACACCTGGAGCATCTCCTCCTTCTCTGACTTCTCTCTCTGAAGAGCTGTTTTTCACATGCTTCCCCCCACTCCTCACTGGCTGTGCAGCATTTTGCCCTTTCTCACACAGGCTTTTCCTGAGGCACTGCCACTGTGGCTGCAGGGTTCAGCTGAGCCTTTGGGTGGGTCCAGTGGAGTGAGCTGAAACTGGCTGTGCTCGGCATGGGGCAGTCCTGGCCACTCCCCACCAGCCCTGCAGCCCCCCACCAGCACCCTGTACATTGCTTCAACCAAAATTTCAGTGCAGCTGAGGATGGGGACAAAAGCAAACACTGTCTGCACTGAAAAACAGGAAGAGCCAATCACTTCCCTTACAAAACTCATTGGAAAAATTTTGTCTATGCATGGCTTGCCACAATCAGGGTCCCCGTGGTTTCCAAAAAAACAGGAACTCTGCCTGCATCTGTATGTCAGAGAATGGGATACTCTCCTTATTTTTTTTTTTTTCCAAATTACACCACTCTGGATCTTTTATAGTTGAAGATACTCAAATTCTGAGTGAATACAGTCAGGCAGCTGTAGGTTCCCATACTGGGAACATACATGTAAGACCCCCTAGGGGTGTGCAGGCAAGCTGTTCTCTTAATAGCTTATGCTTGGAAAAAAACTACAGCAGATGTCTAAGTTCAATGACAATAAAAGCAAATACACATCAGGGATGAAGATTTCTAAAGCGCCAAGGCCAGGAAAGATGTGTTCTGGTCACTCAGACAGGGCATCTTTACTGACAACCACAGTGCAGCTTTCTCCTGATAGAGTGGAGGGAAACAAACCATGTGCAACAAATGAAACCAATGCTTTTAAATGCCCCAAGGCTTTAACTTCTTATAATTTGGTCAGAGCTTTTATGGAGAAAGATTAAAATCATACACACAAAGCATGCTTACAAGACTTGAGTGCACACCATTCCATTAGAAGAACTAGCAGAAAATTTCCTTAATGGGCAGTTTCTAAATAGCTTCACTTTTAAGTAGCTGCAAACTTCTGAATTTTATGATAATTTGTTCAGGTTTTTTTTTAACCAGCTGTATAAAATGGCATCTGGCAGCCATAGCGTATAATTTGCTGTGACTAAAATTAAGGAACTGGACTGCAGGCCAACTCTTTGTTGTCTTCACTATGCGTCTGTGATATCAATGAGTCTTCCACACAGTGCCAGTAGAAGAACAGAAAGCTTTTTTATTTTAATTTTACATCTGTGATGGAAAGAGTTTTTTAAAAAAACTCTTCCTTTATTTCAGATAAGAAGTGGGAGCACAGAAAGAGATTTGTCTTGGAGCTGCAGTGAAACCATGGTGGGGCCAGAAGTAGTGCGTGCAGATCTGACACCTGACTTAGTCACTTGGCATCTTGTGGATGAGATTCCCTCCCACTTCTCTGCCTCCATCCTTGGAAGGGGTGATGAAGAGCTGCCTCCTGCTGTGAGGATGTGACAGCTTCCACTAAACAATTTACAGTGTATTTACTCATCTCACTGCATGCACAGTGCTTGTGAGTTCAGCAAGGAAGGGAAGGGTTGCAAAGGAGAAAAGAGATGAAGGAGGAACTTCTTTCAGACAGAATATTCATGTTGCCTCGTCTGCATTACCTAATAATCCTTCTCGAATTACTGAGTGCCTTAAGATGGATGTAAAACAATCATGGATGTAATTTCAATAAATGAAGTGCAGCCACAATCACAGACAGAGGGCTAACACACCTGGAAACTGTACTGCAAGCTTGTGTAAGACCCCACCTTATACATTCAGTTATTATGCCACTGCACTTAGAGAGTAATGGAAGCCACTTCTTGCAAGCTTAATGTTACCTGCAAAAAGTCTCACTGGAAAGGCCAACACTGGTAGCATTTCAGATGTGTGTACTTTTGCCCTTAAGGCTGTCATCTTTTCCCAGAGAATAGCTTTGAAAGGCTGTGTTTAATGCATTTCTCCCTATTGGCAGAAAAGTCACTTTAGGGAGCCACATAATAATGATAAGGCTGTGATATCATGCTTAGAACACACATTTGAAGATACCGTTTCACGCATGAACTAAAATCTGGCAGTTCAACTGCAGTGTGCTCTTGTTCTTTTACAAACTGTATCTACTGAATAAAAGAATAACAAAACAAAACACAACAGCTTTTTCTCTATCAGTCACTAAAATGTTTTTGAATGATTTCAACATTTTTTCTAATTTAGAGATTGTTTTTCTTATCTCAGAAAATGACTTAGAGTAATTATATTAACAATCTTACTGAGGTAGTTGGACACAGCAGCTATATTCACTGGAAATGTCACCACTTTGCTAATAAATACCTGTAAAACTTCTTCATATCTCCACCTTTTTTACTTCACAAGTTGATAATTGTTAAATCAGAAACCTGGTTAAGTTTCAGCGTTCTAATCTTAGTTCCTGCCTATATTTTTTTCAGTAGTTTAAGAAGAATATATGAAACTGTACTTTATCCAGTGATTCAGTGTAAAAAACTCCTGGACAGCAGAAATTTACTGTGGGACCAGGTGGTCTTTAGACCTGACCTAGAGCTTCTTAGTTTTAATGATCAATGTTAACGGAAGTGTGGAATATGTCCCTCATTCTGTCATTTGCTTAGTATACTACTTCTTTTTGTTTCAGGAGATAATATTTTCAGGCTGAAAATATCTAAAAATCCTTCAGTAAAAAGTGAAAGAGAGTTGCAAAGAGAGTTTAATAGCACTGCTGCTGCAATGCATCCAGTTTAAATTCTAAGCGCAGTGTTTCAAAGTTATACTCTCAAATCCCAATTCCTCCTCCAAATCTCGTAGAAACACAGCATCTGCCAAAAACTTATATATTCAACTTACACAATTTCCTGACTGCTGAGTTCAGCACTAAACCAAAGATTTCCTCCCTCATCCAAGGACAAACTACTTGCAGCTTCACTTTTAATTCAACTCACTGTCCATAAAAAGGAACAGTCTTTCAGCCCCTGAAAAACAGTCCTGAACACCCACAGGGGGCATGGCTATTACTGGCTTCAGAGACAGACATAAGAGGTGGTAAGAGATGAAAATCCTCATTTCACCCTGCTAAATCCACCATTACACTATGGTGATGTGACAGGAAAAGAGCCAAATACCTGCCACTTTCATCCTGCTGAAGTGCTGAAACCAGGATTAGAGTTATGTAATGTTGTAAAAGAGGAATTCAGCGTGCGAAGGGAGGAATCTCTCAGTTCCTTATTAAAATCACAGCTGAACAGCACTGTCCCTATTGGAACAAACAACAGCCAAGTCCCCAAAACTGCAACTGTCACCCACGCATAGACTTACAAAAGCACAGTCCAGGTGATCTCTATGCATCTGAGGATTTCTGCTTGCAGTAAAACTTCAGGGCACTAATTCCAGACTGGTGAAAACTTGATCAGAGGTTTGCTATGTTCTGGACATTTTGCACAGCACTCAAACTTTCTCTATATTTGTGCATAAGACTCTGAAACACAAACTGAAATTGGATTCAAACTCACTAGCACACAAGATGAGCAGAGCAGGATTGCTTAAGTATTTGCATAGAAAAGCTTACCTTAAATGACATTTTCAGCTCTTCCACATGCACAGGGAAGATCCCAAATCCCATGAATGCTGTCACTGCACCAGCTTCCCATATAATGGTACAGACTTCTTCAGTACACTAAGCAAGCAGAGAACAGAATAAACTTAAACAAAGTTAGAGGTACTCTTCCTATTGCCTTCTTAGCAATTAACATGCTAAAGCTGACCACAGTAAGTGTCAAACTAAAACTTGAAATCATGGAGACCACACTGTCCTTGATTTTGAGTCAAGGCTGGGGAAGCAGGTGAAACCTCCACTGGGCTTAGGGCACTGGTCCCAGGGCTCTGGTTTTCTCCAACCCTGCAGCACGATTCTAAAGCTCACTTGGTCCTGAAAGCAGGGATTAAGGAAGGGGTGGCTACCCCAGCCTCTTCAGCAGAAAAAGTGCATTTAGAAGTGTAAGAGCAAAGTGAAAACAAAGAGCTGACAGAAAGGCTTGCTAGTAGGGTCAAGTAGGTTTGAACCCTTCCAAATGATGGCAGTACTAATACTTCTCAGGAAGAGAAAGGATTGGAAAAATTTGAAAGAAGTGGAGCGAAAGTAGCTCAGGTATCAAACATCTGCTTTTGCTTTGGGAACAAGAGTATATGTTACTTGAAAAACATGGTCTCCTTGACAGCCTGGCTGTGTAGGGTAGGGTGTGATACACACAGTGTAAGCCAGGAAAATATTGATTAAATCATCTGTTTTGCCTGCTGGAGTCTAATAGTGTCAGTCAGGGATGGACAGAAGGCATCCTTCAACATATTCTTTCATCCGACAGGAGACGGGTACATTTGTACTATGAAGACAAGTGAATTAGAGCTGTAAATTTTGTTAAAGAGCAAATAAGAAGTGGTCGGTGGAGTGAAACTTTAGAACTTAATTAACTCACACACACAAAATCGAGCAGTTAGCAGGTGAATAGGTAATTTTGCACAAAAATAAGGAAAATGGGAAACAGACTAAAATTTTTAAGAAACACCTAGAGTTATGTATTTGGATTTTTTTAATGTTGGATATTTTACACTAAAATATCGAATATTTCAGTATTGACAAGCCAATATTCTGACTCTTGCCATCTCCAGAAAGACTAAATTACTTTGAGAAATCTGCTAAAAATAAAGGTTTATTTGGTGGGCTTCCTTTAAGAGAAGCACATGAGAAAATTCAAAGCAAAAATTCCTGGGTTTGATACATATTGTAAAGTGCAGAAATTGATACTGGACACAGCAGCAGTTCAAGATGCCGCATAAAGATAAATGACTGAGGTACTGCTGGAAAATTATTTGTCCAGATACCACCCCCTTCTGATATAACATTATTTTAGTACCTGCATTAGTGTTACTGAAGTGCCTTTTGCATTTACCTTACCTCCGTGCAGGCACACTCTGTGTGTCTTTACACACATTTATCCAACAAAGAACAAGACAGTTGGCCGAATGCTACATTGCATTTAACCACCCTGACAGGACTAGGGTCAGACATCCAACACCCCAGCCCACAGAGTCTTATTATAGCAAATTTATGAGAGCAGATGTTGCTACAGGCCTTACAAGACTACATGTTGTGTTTGGCACACTGGAGTTAAGCAGCTACATCTTCTCACAGCTGCATAAAGTAGCAGTTATATTCTTCTAACTACATGCTAAAAATGTACCACTGAAGCTAAGCTAGCATGATTAAGGGATCTGAAACCTTGGACAAGTCCTTGACTCTAATAATATGAGTGAACAGCAGGGACTTAGAAAAACCCTTTCTGGGTTTTTTGGCAGTTTAGGGAATAGGTGTTTAATCACTGCTTTTAAAGTCTTCTTTCAGAAAATAATTGAGGCTGTGTTTTCATCAAAAATGTCAGATTTATTGTCTTAACACTATATTTATAAAATAAATTACCAGGAAATGAAGAACAACAAGAATAAACAAGAATTCTATAGATATCGTTTACATGAAGAGGCATTTATTTTCCAAAAAATGTTGCATGTAGAATTATTTTTAGTTTTTCAAAATTAGCTACACTAGTGATTTAAATCTTTAAAAGAATAAAATAATCATTTCAATGGGTATGGAAGAAAAACTTCCATGCATCAGACTCAAGATCACACTCAAATCTAGGAAAAGCCTCATGCCATAGTAAATCTTCAGTCTGATCTTGAAGCAAAGTTTATAAAATGCCAATTACAATAAATTCAAGTTTTCTGTGTTAATCTACCGAAGTTTTGATTAAAAACATGGCTTTAGCTAATAAGAGTCAGGTGCTACTGGTTCATCAGGTGCAACTGCATCCTACTTTATCTTTGCTTCTATTTTCATCAGAAACAGGTCCACTGATGTTATTGGGTTTAAAATGGCAGAGCTGAGGTGTAAATATTTCCTTACAGAAATATTTACAGGTTATTTCCCATTTCAATCCAATAAATTTTCAGACACCAGCTCATCATTATTGTGAAACAGATTATGACGCATTCTTTATCTTGAACCACAAATTTTTCTCATTTTTGCTGTTCCCATTCCCTCCTCCAACTCCTGGGGGACTGAGGTGGGTGAAGGTGTGAGCAAGTGACTGGTGGGTACCCAACTGCTGGCCACAGTATAGAACAAAGATATATATATATATATATAAGGTCACACAAAGCATTTCACCAGAGTTGGTGAAAAGATCAAGCTTTTTGTAAGTTCTTTAACTTGACTTAATGATCTTAAATATGTCTATCAGCTGACAGTTAATAAATAACATCATAAGCAGACATAGAGATCTCTAAAAGAAGTGATTGAACTGATGTGAGTGGAAGAAACCTATTCACAGCCTCTGTGAAAAGCTGACTGAAGCAGCTTAAACCTCCCACCCAACAGCTCAAGACAGCACCAGGTCAGCCTCTTCACTCATTCTGCCCTTAGACATGCAAACTCCAAAAGGAAGGAGAAGCAACAGGGCTGGTTTTGCAGGGAAAGCGCTCAGTGGGGTGCAGACTATCGGAGACAGAATCTGAATTCCCTGTTGAATGAGAGGTATAGATTCATACTAGCCTACAATTTCCTACCATTTATGTATAGCACATAACTGCTTCAACGTCCCTCTTTGATTGCCTCCTGAAAAGTGAGTGGGTAATTTCACACTTGCTCTTCAATATTAGGTTTATTATACCAAGTTTTATCTTAAAGTATACTTTGAGAACTGTTATATATTTCAGAAGAACAGGGATTTATAGCAGAGCTAGTAGCAGGCCTTTATTATAGAGGTGATAGGAGTTACCATCTGAGAATAATAGAGGCTTTTTCACAGTGTAATTGGCATTGGTTATCTTCTATCCATGTGCACTCTTGCTTATCAGTACAGATGCCCTGGAAAAATGGTTTTATGAAGTGTTTTTGAACAGTACTGTAACTTTCTTTGTGGTAAAAGAAAGTTGATTATCAGCTACAATGAAATCAGATCAGCCACAAAAGTTAATCATGAATCTATCTCTGGTATAGGAGTCATGGAAAGTCAAGAATTTTAGCTCATGAAAGGAGACAGGTAAGCTTCTAGCTTAAAGCAAAAAACACTAAATCAAATCAATCAAAATCCCCAAAAAAGCCAACCCAAAACAACCCCAAACAACAACATCAAAAAGCCAAACCCAACATCAAAAATCCCACCTCAAGTTCCCCAGAATTAAAGAAGATGTAAGAAAAGAAAACAAAATGCTCCAAAAGAGCAGGGTGATGCTAGTGGATCAAAAGGATCCAGCAAGATGAAGAGCACTAATAGCTCTTGTTCATCTCTCGTGGCCATGGTAGGTTCTCAATTCAGTTAAGACAAGCCTTAGCTATGCCATTTCCCTGAAGTGTGTTGATGTAGCTAATGCCAACAGGGCCAAAGAGGTGATTAAAGGGATGAGGAAAGGAAGCGATGTCATGCTTTCCAAGGAAGGAAAGGATCAAGACAGATGTAACTTACTCCAGTTCTTAACAACACATTCCTACAAATAGAAAGCAATACTGAAGCTATTACTGACACCATTCAGGCATGATGAAAAGTGTTAGAAGTAATGAACTATGTATCTGAACACATAAGAATGAGGTAAAGCAGGGTATAATGAGTATCAGGCATTTCAGCTAGTCATGAAACAGGGATAATGTGTGTTCTGTAAACTATCCATCAAACCTGTCCTACATTATTCCACCTGACAGATTAAATGGCTGATCTCAGTGCATTTAAAATTGCCAGATATCCAGAAGACCCAGCCCAGTTTTTACGAAGAGCCTGGGCCTAGTATTAGTGAATATTACTACCTACTTTTATTCTGACAAAATGCCAGAGTTTACATGGCTTGAAACATGAAAATGAGAGAAAAACTGTGTGCAGAGAGCTAGGCAAGGAAAGGCAAATCATAGTGTAAGAGGTGCATATGTGTTTTAAACAAACTGAGACAGTGGCATAAGAGCTAAAAGAAGCTCACATGAAAACAGAAGAGATAAGCATTGTGAGGGGTGGCATACCTGGAGAGAATTATGCAGTAATTTTTAAAATTAATGTTTAAAGCATAACCATTTGGAGTGAGTTTATAGCTCTTCATGATTTATCGGACAACCACAACACTATCTAAGCAAAAATTAAAGGAAGATTGGGGTCAAATGATACATATTAGGTAAAACTTGTATTATGGCAGATCCTTGGTCACTAAAACAAAAATTTTGGTGTAACTCAAACAGGTGTCCTAATAATGTAGTTGTTTTAGCTTATTAAGTACGGTGTGTAGACTCAACTTCTGCTTGCACATCAGCAGCACAGACCCTCTATTGCAGAAAGGAAACAGTGAGTGGGTGATTTCATTTGAAACATGTTTTGGTAAAATCTGCAAACTTGGGCCAGATGATACTCATCTATAATCCAACTCTATCATGCATGCTGCCTCTTAAAAATCACTTTATTTGCATATAGCAGGTATTCAGTTGCAGGAAAAACATGGAACACAGTGTAAATAAAAGTAACACAACTATGATTCATCTTGACCAAAAGGACTGCAATCTAAACAGCTTCCTGGGATATCACCCCAAAATGGATGAACTCCATGATCTGATAATAAATAACATACGCCCTTGGAGCTTTGCTCAGT